CCTGCTGAATTTACAATTGTTGAAACTTCTGAATCTCCAATTGTGAGCTCGTCTAATTGAATATAAGAATGCACCTTCAAATTTAATAGATTTTGTTGTACTTGTCGAATATGATATTGTATTATTTGTGGATATCCCTTATGAAGGGAATATGCAATTAGTTATTGAGAAGAGTATGGTGACCCCTTCAGGAGCTCAAGTACCTGAAATGCACAAAACACCAACGGTCTTGTTAAAAAAGTTGCTAATAATTTATTTATGACGCTCAAGTTACCCCACAAGTAAATGTTGATGCCAAAGAAATGGACGAATTATCAACTCAACTAATAGAATTGCAGAATTAGTTTGGCGAGTTGAAGGAAAAAGTTTAGTGGCATGAAAATTATTTTTGAAGAGATAAAGAAGCAATTTGCTGAAATGACCTTTCGGCTGATCATTTTTAGAAGAAACTTGAGTCAACTTAATCAAAACAATTCATGTATGGAGGAAAAATCGTCCTTATAATGACTTCTCCATAATGAAAAAAAAATATTTCCGAAGATGCCAAAGACGTCTGCCTTTAATTTTTCAACTTTAATTAGATCTTCATTTAAGCTCCTTAGATGATGGCATTCTTCAACATCATGGTAGTGATCTCTATGATATATGCAAAATTTCTTATGATCACACAGTTGACTATCTGCCTTCATTGTTGTAAAATTCTTAAAATATTCTTTACTCTGAATAATCTCAACAATCTCAATCATAGAAACTCTCAATGGAGTCATAGCCGGTGCAAGGTGAGTTGGAGATGGCAATCTCCTCTCCAATCTCCCATTTATTCACTTGCCTTCAATTTGAGCTAGCCTATGGAATGGATGAGTAAGATTCTTCTCAATTTATTTTTACCCCTCTCATCAAGATCACCTTGCTTCTCCTCGAATTTGTGAAAATTTCTTCTTTGGAGGCACTGTCATTCCTTATTCTTCATTCTAGATGACCTCAATAGTGAGTTACACTCCATAGCAAATATATGATTCTTGATGAGCAATGAATTCTTCAATGTTTGCTGTACATGTTCAAAGTTCAAACCACCAAAATCTATGTTCAATTAACGTATAATTAATAGGAGTCATTCTAACTATTTTTTTAGCATAATCATTCATTAATTTATCATCCTAATTTTGTGAAATTCAACCTAATCTTTCAAATTCTATTATATTTAACTTAATTACCAATTATCTATTGTTGGCCCTCATTTGAATCCATAAAGAGCATGAAAGGATAGTTCTATTATATTTAACTTAATTACCAATTATCTATTCATTGATTTCCAAATTGGATTCCATAATACCTTCCAAATTTGTGTTTGAGAACTCTTTGAAATCACCCATGGATCGAGAATTTTCACTCCCCTTCAAATATAGAAACATATGTTAATTATTCCTCTTGGAAGTAAAGCTATCAAATTATATTAAATTAAACGCTTCCCTGGGCTATAGGCAATTTGAGATGTTGCAGAGATATGTACCTTTTTGATAATTTTCAATTCATTTTTTAAAATGTCTATCAATCTTTATATGTCTAGACAATGATCATAGACTTAATCTTTAACAATATTAATTATTATGTGGTCATCACACCTCATCATCTTTGGTTCCTTAAAATAGTTTTTTAGATCTTGAATAAGTCTTTGGAGCTACATTACTTCTCAAATTCTATGGTTAATGATGTAAATGTTGCCTTTGTGTTACTTCTATTGCAACCACTTATTCTTGCTTCTTTAAGCGAACAAGTTTTTCCATACAAATAAGTAATAGCCTAAGTTGATTTCTTATTAATTATAGAAGCCGCTAACCAATATCAGTGTAAATTTTAATATTATTTTCATTTTTTGATTCCTGAAAATATATCCTTTTGGTGACCCTTTAAGAAACTTTAGTAACTTTTAAATAACATCAAGATAATCCTCGATGGGGGCATTCATACACAAACTATATACCATAACAAAAAAGCTTCTGATAAGGTAAAGATAAATTAGATTTCCAATTAGTCATTAGTATCTTTCTTTTTCCACCTGCTAAGAATTATTTTTGGACTAAATTTTATTTATATATAAACCATTAGGGTAATAGTAGATTAGCAAGTTCATATCTTATCATAACAATTTCTTTTACATCCAAAATATAATTTACTAACTGATCTAATATTTCTTTACAAAAAATATATTCTAAGAGATTAAAATCTTTTATTTCAAATTCATTTGTTAGGATCCTTTTAAGACTATTACTTTCTTTTTATGGCTACTACTTAAGATAATAACATCATCATAAATAACGAGGATCATAATTTTACATGTGAATGATTCCGTGACAAATAGGGTGTGATCGACAAGTTTATGTGTGCACTCATGCTTCTTGATCTTGATAGAGAATCTATCGAACTAAACTTTTAACGATTGCTTTAGACCATATAATAATTTCTCAAATTTGAAAACATTATTCTTAATGGTATCAATCAAGGTGGCATAATCATATATGCTTTATCTTCGAGATCACTATTTAGGACAGCATTTTTTGCATATAATTGATGAAGAGGCCAGCCCAAATTAACATTTAGAGAGAGAATAACTTGGACTAAATTAATCGTAGCAATTGGCGCGAAATCTTTCAAAATTGAATGATGATACAATAACAAGAGCAACAAGCCTTTATCGCACTATGTGGGGTTAACTACATGAATCATTTCTCCATTTTGTTCTATTGAGTGTCATATTTTAATTTAATTATTACAGATTAAGATCGTTTTTAATACAATATATCTAAGCCATTTTAGGTCTACTTTTGTCTTTCTTAACATAAGTTGAATCTAAAACATTTACTCTCATAACCGAATCCTCGAATGGTCAACGTTTAATGACACCAAAACCATCTAAAACGACCCTCTCTAATATTGTTTGCAATTGGAGCTACGCCAAAACCCTTTCACGAATAGATTCTTTTTGCATTTTGTCTCTAAATGTCAAGCCACTCATCCACCTAAGCATTCTCATCTCAACAACACTTAACTTTATTTTATGCTTCTCTTTTAAAGGCCAACATTCCGCGTATAAAGCCTTGCAGCTCTCACCAGCATCTTATAAACTTTTCCTCTAAATCTTAGCGGTACTTTTCTATCACACCATAGGCCAATGCATTCCTCCACTTCAACCAACCAATCTGAATTCTACTAATAACATCCCCATCTATAATATCACCATCACTTTGAACAATAGACCCAAGATATCTAAAATGTTCACAGCTTTTAATGATTTGATCATCCATAGTTACAACTCTATCACTAGAGTACTACTTAAAATAATATTCAATGTATTTAGTTTTATATATGCTCAAACAAAGACCTTTAAACTTCAATATAGACCTCCATAATTCAAGTTTTTCTTGAGCTCCTTCTCTAGTCTTATCCACAAGATGGATTTCATCAGCAAAAAGCATACAACAACGTACATCCTCCTGTATATGTCTGGTAAGAGCATCCATAACTAAAGCAAAAAGATATCGGCTTAAAGCCAATCCCTGATCTAATCCAACTGAAATAGGAAAATACTAGGTCAATCCTCCTATTTCAACACAAGTTAGAACTCTAATATACATATCTTTAATGACCTGAATATAAATCAAATTAATACCTTTCTTTTATAGAACTCTCCAAAGAATATCTCTTGGAACCTTATCACAAGCTCAAGCTCAACCCGAACATGAGAAATTTATATTATGGCCAAGTAAATCCAATCCATGACATACCCAACTCGAGTTGGTTCAATTACAATCCTAATTGGAGTACATTGATTTATTAACATGATCCTTTAGCGAGTCTATTCCTAAATTTTTTTGAGAATACTACCTAAGCATACGGAAGCCATTTTGTTCGAAGCCCTTCAAACTTTATTAAGGTTTTTATTTACCAGGAAGAAATTTATCATGTTTTCTCATTTAGTTTTGATACTTGGTTGTATCTCCAAAACACTTTGAAACTAGATCTTCACAGACTTAAGGTTCTTGCCAATACCTAGTTAAAGAATGATGATATTGAGTGATTTTCGATCACCTTGTTGAAGATTGTGGTGATCGTGTTTAATTTTAAGTAACTTCATAGTATTTTCATTGTTTAGGCATTTTTCTTTTGCAATATCATAGTTTTCTTTTGATCTTTTTATAGTGGAAAACAGGACGCATTTATGAGATAATTATATTTGCTTCTCTCACAATGAGCATTATAACTTACTGGGTTGGTTGAATATAGTCTTGCCAGTATAGCTTATGCCCCATAAACACTTTCATGACTAGTAATGTTGCCACAAATGATTGTTTCATAACTAGAGGTGATGTCGGAGGAGAAGCTTCTATTTAATGTCATTCCATGCTTAACCATTACCAAGATGAAAATAGATAAAAAAATTAAAGACTAAACATGGATAGAAAAGTAAAAGTAGATGTCTTCAATAACATGCTGAAAAAGAGAAAGATGATGTTTGTGAACAACATAGAGGATAAATAAGCACTTTTTCTTATCATAATGACCAAGTTAGACTCTGTCTGGGATAGCCGCAGCTTATTTACAGCTGTTGAAAAACAATTTGACGTTCAAAAAACTGTAGTGGCTATGACATTTTTTTTTTTGAAAACGTCAGACTGCAAATAGAAAGTTGCGGCCACACCTAACTATAACCGATGAAAAAATGCAGATTTCAACGACATCTTTTTGAAAAAGCTGCCAAAAAGTAGTTTACCCAAACAGACAATTAATTGCATTATTTATAAGGAAATAAGGACCAATAATGTAGGAAAAGCAAAAAAAAATGATACAAATATAAGAAAATATAATAATGAACACTATTCTTCTTCCAAAGGAAATTAGTAAAACAAGCAAGCCATGGGTCCAACTAAGCAGCTAGCTGAGCTTTCATATACTGAACTAGCGGTTATGGCAGTGGATAACTATAAGATACGATGATATGCGATGACATTAACGAATTCCATAATTTAATAGGTTTACTTGCTGCCACCTTTATCTAAAGTAAAAATCATAAAATCAATTTACGGATTCCTGTCTGCCTCCTCATTGGTTTTCAAATTTGATTTCAGAGAATTAGCAACCATAATACCTCCCATATTTGTGCTTGACCAACAATGAATCTAGAATTTCCAAATTACGACTTCCAAAATAATTGCTTCATTAAAACTCTCAAATATTCTCAAAATAACATTTTTCAACTTTCCATGATGCCTACATCTATAACAAAAATACTATTACCTTCACTTCTAATGCATCTAATTTGATCTTTCTTTTCTTGTCTAAAGGAGGGACTTAAAATTTATCAACACTTTAAATAGATAAATATTAATATGTTGCTGAAAAATCAAGGCTTGTATGAAAAAATGATAACCACTTTCAAACATAACTGTTTCAATCAAGTTTTCTCCAATAAATTTGCAAGCTTGTGCCAACAAGTTGCAATTTGGGTGCTACACTCTTGGTCAATGAATTTATTTAATTAGTCTAGCCCTTTAAGGGCTACAATATTGAATTGTGAACATGTATAAATTATTATATATGCATGGTATAAAACAGTCAAATAAATAAAATAAAATTTAAATGCATGGAACAAAACAGTCAACAAATATATAAGAGAAAATTTAAATTTACCAGCATGTGCTTCTCAATCTAAATAATTGGATGCATTCAATGTTTCACTAAAAAGTGTAGATTTTTCAGTTAATGAAATCATCTTAACAAGAACAAGGCAGAGATAAAAAAAAATGCTAATTTACCCCATTCTCATAACTATGAAAAGCTCCTAAACTTAACCATTTATATTCGGGGCATTCCACACAATTCTTATGTATTTACGTATCTAACTCCTAAACATTCATAAACACATGCATACCACTTAAATCTTTAACATCCCATCAAAAATACCACCATCACTATCTTTTTAAAGAAAAAATACATATTTTATGTATGAGTTTATAACACCAAAAGGGTAAATATCAAATTTTTATGTCAGTTGCAATAAGACAAAACCAGATGAATCCAAAACATTCAACATACCTGTATACATATGGAGATAAGTGATGGCATGAGCAACATCTATTGCAATATCCAGGCGTTCTGCAAGATTAAGGCAACTTCCATGCAAGCCTGCAATATCTCATATATGAAATTACTAACACACACACCTTCAAAAGTAATAAGTTCCAGTAAAAGCTAAAAATTAATGCATCATTCTGCCAAAAAAAGATTATTTTTAAGAATTCAAGTAAAGACTTACAATCAAGATGTTCTCTGAGAGTTCCATTGGACACATACTCCACAACAAGAATCCTCTCATTATCATACTCCAAATATCCCAAAAACCTAACCAAATTCAAATGCTCTACTCTTGCCAGAGTCTGGACTTCAGATTGGAATTCCGTCCCTAATTGCTTATCATACATACTCTGCACATACACCAACTCAACATTACTCAATATCATGTTCTACCAGTACATCCCAAATCAACAAGCATTACCTTCTTGGCACGTTTCACTGCAACAACCATGCCGTCGTCGAGCTTTCCCTTGTACACCGTTCCAAATCCACCCTGACCAATTTTCAAAGAAGGGGAGAAGTTCTTTGTGGCCTTGTTGATCTCAGCCATGGTGAACCTCATGCCTCCAGGCTCAGTTTGAGATGAACTACTGTAGATCCCACTTCCTGAAAACCTCCTCGCCTTACCTTGAAAGCTTCCCTGATTACTTCCCGAAGCTGATGTAGTTTCTAATATAGATAAAAAAAGAAAAAAAACCCACAAATTTTCATTAAATAAAGGATCCCTTCTCTACACTTTCCTCAACTAGAGCAGTAGAAAAGAATGATCAAGAAAAACCCAGTTCATTTCCAACAAAATTAAAACTTACAATTGGAACCTGGTATTCAGAAATGGGGGATTGCAAAGATTGAAACTTACGCGAAGGAGATCTAAAACCATCGGAGAAGATCTCGTCAGTCGATCTTCCCGTGGCCGGGGAGAAGCATGAGCCGAAAAACCTCGCTGCGACAGCAAAGGGATTGCGGCTTGCAGAGGATGATTTGTCGTCGGAGGAAGATTTAACAGAATAGAGAGGGCTCCTCAACGAGTCACGATTCTTTGACTTGCTTGATCCAACGGAGCTAGGGTTCCGACCAGCTACAGGAGAGCCGGGAATCGGCATGATCGGTGACTTGCTCTCACACTGGCGGCTTGACCGAGTGATGGAAAGATTTGAGCGAGCGGGCAAGTGGTGCAGGTTCCGCTTTATTGTGATGCGGTCTCCGTTAACACGCCATCCGGCATCCGGCAATAGGTGTAGCGGTTCTTGTAGCTCTAACCAAAAAATTTATGTGTGGTCTCCGATGTAGCTCTGCGTGCGCACTCCCAATAATATATCGTTAGAGCTGTCAACGGCTCATTGCTTGTGAACATCTTGTGTTCGGCTCGTTAAGAAGCTCGTGTTCGGCTCATTTGCTAAGTTAACGAGCCAAACACGAACAATATTTGTTCGTTCGTGTTCTGCTTGTTTTGGCACGAAATACTACTAATCAATTATATATATATATATATCTGATGAGTAGTCTTTTTTAAAAATTTAGTTGACTATAGAGCTACAAAGATTTATAATCAATTAAAAGCATTAATAAAGAAAATATAATAAAAATTATTAAATTAGATTCAAATGATGTTTTAAATTTTGTCTCAATCTTTAATATCTAATGACTACGTGATTAAGGTTGTCAAAATGACTCTTTGTTCGTGAACAGCTCGAGTTCGGCTCGCTAAGCAAATGAGCCGAACAAGAACACACTTTTTGAGCTCGAAATATAAACGAAGCTCAACTCGTGTTCGACTCATTTACACCCTTATATATCATCATGTGTGTTTTATTGGAAAAAAATATTACATATGGACATCTAGATGTCCAGACAACAGCTCGGATGCAGCGGAGGAGGGGAGGAATCACACCTCTGCCCTCCTCGCTGCATCTGAGTCGTTATCCAGACTTTGGAAGTCCATATGTATTATCGTTATATCGGACCCATCTAAGAAAATATTAAAATGAAATCAGACTGCAATAATCTTGAAATAACCTAGAAATAATCCCAAAATAACATTTGTGGTTCCAATTCAATAACTCTGAAATAATATCAGTTTCTGGGTTATTTTGGAGTTATTGAAGAAAAACCTAAATATTTTAGTTCAATAACCCCGAAATAATATCTGCGGTATTATTTCAGGGTTATTGTAATGGAACTACAGAGATTATTTCAGAGTTATTTTTGAGTTATTTTGGGGTAATGAAATTAAATATATGAGTTTTTCTTCAATAACCCCAAAATAACATCTTCAGATCCACTTCAACATCCTTGAAGTAACTTCCGCGATGTAGCACACGTGACCGCATATTATTGGATCTGCACGTAGAGCTACATCCGGAGTCCGAATAGAAAATTTTTCCTGTGAGCAAGACCCAATTACATTGCCAAATGAGTGTGGGAAAATCAAATTTAATATGGAATCAGCATGAATCTCATATAAATATTGAGATAATTTTTAATGTAAACAATATTTGAACTTCAATTAAAATTTTTTTATAACTCTGCTTTTAATAAACTAACAATCAAACTAATTGGTTTGATAAGATTGACTCAATGATATCAGATTGTCCAACCCGAATCAAAACAAGCCCATATCAGACTAACAAACCGCTTTTGAAAGCTTTCATTGTATAATTGAAACATTAAAATGATTTTAAATCAAACATGCTTATATTCAAATCAAGCGTCTCGACAAAATGAATTAAAAAAGAGCAAGATTGCTCGATTATGACATCATTTAAGACACTCTAATGTTCACTAAACACAGTTCAATCAAAAGAACCTCTTGAGGTCGTGTGATCAGAGTAGCTTGGGTGCCTTCCTTATTTGCAATAAGGACTTTATAAATAAAGCTTCACCATTCTCTTGAAAGAAGGGGAGACATGAAGCCATAAAAAAAAGACTGGAACTTGGAGATGGAGCTAAAGTTCAACATTAGTTTTGCACGCAAATTCGGTGAATTCCTCTCGCTCTTATAGTTGATCACTGTGGACAACTGACTGTCAACCACAACCTACCACTGTCGACAGCCCTCTGCCATCGATCACCATCAACCATCATCTGCTCTTAGCAGTGAAGTCTCTTTCAGAGTCACAATGTGTGTCACATAATCTAAGTGTATGTTGCAGAAAAGTGAAGCATTCGACAAAACAATATGTCGTACATTACACCATGTAATTATGCCCCTCGAATACGATACAACGAGACACCCGATGACAGTGTAATAATGCACCCCACATATGGTTCAAAAATGCCTCCCAAAGATGGTGTAAGAATACACCTCGAATACGGTGTAATGACATACTTCAAAAGAAGGCGTAATAATACACCACGATTATGGTGCAATGACATATATCGATGACGGTGTATCAACACACCCCACATACGATGCAATGTCACCAAAAGTCGGTGCAACGACCCCCCTTCTGAAGATAGTACATCAATGCACATCGAAAATTTTTTCCTTTTCAGAAATTTTCACGTAAAAATTTAGGTCTCTCCTCTTGTTTACTTCTTTTTAATTACTTGAGTGTGCTTCAGGTTCTCCAACAACACTAAGATAATAACTCATTACTCCACTTTCGCGAACTTTCTAACACGCATCAAAACTAATCATATGAATACTTTCATATTAAAAAGGATTCCGGATTTAAACTTTCTTTCCAATTTGATAGATATAAATTAATAAATATATTATTGAGTTCGATTGAACTATTATTGAATAAATATATTGATAACTGTATTTTTCATATAATAATGTTATTTACAAAATTTACAGATATTATTAGCGGTGTGGTTTGACTTAATATTCGTATCATTGAGTAAGAATTTTGATGTTTTTTTTAATTATAAATAATTTGTCACATAAAATTATATAAAAAAAAATTATAGTCAATCGAAGACAAAATGCTAACATTAAAATTGTAGAAGAAGAAAAAATAAGAGATCTTGCACAACTGAAATATATTCTACTAACATCGGATATAAATTATAAAAAAACTATTTATATCCAAATATAGAAAAAGGGTCCATATAATAATGTAAGTAAAAATAAAATTAACGTGTGCTAGGGAATTCAGAGCGATAGATTAATGAATTATCATCTTAGTCTTGTACACTAATCTAACACGTACTTAAATATAAAATTGACGGATAGAAACACAAGAAGTTTTTACGTAAAAAATCAAAAAAGAGAAAAAATCACGGGGCTTAACCAAGTTGAAATGATTCATTATGAGTTCGTGATTACATATACAAGTCTTTGTCTCACAGAAGGGGAAAGAGTTACATAGTTTTTTCGAGTTATATCGATCGTGTACAGAAGAACTTGTTGCCCCCACTATATGGAGCCATCGTAGCTGGAGCTTGTTGCGGGAGATAAAATATATATACTAGTTGATGTGGTATATCTATAATTCAAACAGGAGAACGATCGACGAAGCGAAAAATAAAACGAGAAAAATCACACCAGAAAAGAACACACCAGAAACACACCAGAAAAGAACACACAGATTTACATGGTTTGACAAATTGTCTACTTTCATGGAGTTGCAGTGGATTTTACTACTTGAGGAATTTACACTAGTCGATCATCTCGACTTACAAGAGGAATCTCTCACTCTCACTTTGTTGTTCTCTCTTCTGCTCTCTTTGTTTCTCTCTCTACACCGAGATGCACTGATGAAGATAAACTTATAAGAGAAATAAACACAGTTTCTCTTAGGCCACAAGCCACCAAGAATAAGCCAAGGGAGAACAATTTTCATCTTCTTTCTTCTTCCTTCACCTCAAGGAACTACTTCTTGCACCTTCCTTCCTCTATTCCGAGGAAAACTAGAGAAGAACACTGTGACTTCTCTTCACTGAAGGAGAGCTGTGTGATATCTTTTATCACGAACAGGAGGGAGCGAAGAGATGCTCCGCTTCACAAAAAGGGAAGGCATAGGCGGTTGGCACCTACGGTACGCGAACGACAGAGTCGCGTCCTTTCACGAACTGGAGCGGGAGCGGGAAGCGGAAGGTAGGAGGTGGGTTCGACCGGGCTCCAGCATAACAGAGCTTTGGCGTCGCTGTCTTCAAAGTTAGCATAACGTTGGGATGATACACTGCTCAGTAGGATTCTTCGTTGCTCTACAATGCTATTATTGACTCCACACAAAGTTTTGCTATAAGTAGAGGACGATTGAAAGTGGTCGATGGTGGTCGGCAGTTAGTGGTTGACGATGGCTAGCGACTACTGGAACGAGAGGTACTTGTTGGATCTTTGGCGCAGAAGTGATGCTATACTTCAACTCTTTATCCAAGCTTTGGTCTTCTTCTAGCTCAAGGTCTTGGTCCTCCCTCAAGATAGAGGTAGAGTTCTATTTATAGAGTCTATGAGCGTCCTCTTTGTAAATAAGAAGAAATTCAAACCATACCATCAGACTGCCTGGAGAGATTCTCTCAATTGACTGGTGTTCTATAGATATTTGAGTTCCTTAATAATGTTAGAGTCAAGCGATTTTGAGCTCGTTGGATTCATCTCGTCAAAACACTCTATTTGACTATAAATTTATCAGATTTGGAATCTGTTTGACATTTCAACTATGTGTTAAAATCTTCCAAAAATAGTTTAATGACTTAATCTAGATTTAATTCGACTGAGATTGAACCAACTTTGCTTCAATTGGGTCCGTCAAGTCGAGCCAGTTACTTTGATTGTAAATTTGTTAAAATCGGATTTCAAGATAAACTTTAATCAAAATTTAAATATTTTTTTTTTCAATAAATTACCCAAGATTCGTACCAAATGATGAATTTGTTAATATCAAAGATAATTCTAATATTTTAGCAGTATGTAAATCATACGTACAGAAGATATGCTAATAGAATTCAAGCAAAATTAAGGTGTTGCTAGAAATTTTAATTTTTATTGAGAAAATTATATGAAAGAGATTGAGTTGACAACTTTGTTCCCTTAATTGGAGGCGATATTAACATAAATCAATATCTTCCAATATAATTTGGTTATTTCACATCCTCGCGTCTATACATAGTATATCCTTTATGCTCAGTTTGATATTATACAAGCTTCCAACCACCCATAATGTGTCTAAAAATTTGAATATAATCTCCTTAAGACCAATTTTGCGAGAGGGGATTCGAACCCCCAACCTGAAAGATCATATACCGTGGATGCCAACCTCTTCATAGTGAGATATATAAATG